TTTAATTTTGATTTATAATTAGAAAATCACTTTTGGTAGAAACTTATAATTTATCTATAATATGAGATGTTTTCAATATAAAATTAAATTTAATCAAATTTTAAACGATTACTGCACCTCGAAAGAAAAGGAAATAGGGGCCTAATCGAATATAAGGGTCTACACGAAGTATTATTGGTACATGCATGGAGATATATATTGGACCTACCATGTGTTATGTTTTATGGCAGTTAGAGAAAAAACTTCCATGAATTTATTGAAAACTTTTTGAACATGAGAATCATACAATAGTCACTCTTTTTTTGGGATATACGTAAAATATAAAAAAAGTCTATAGTAATAGTCCAAAACTAATCAATATAATCCTTGTCATTTAAAAAAAAAGTGACAAAAGTGTATATATATATATATGTCGACATGAAAATAAGTGTAACATTATTATTTTTAGGTAAATCTAACAATCTCAACAAATTTGATAAACTATTAACAAATTCTTCTTTTTCAAAGACGAATTCATTAAGTTTGATCCATCACTAATAAATATCGATTTGAACTAGTATGTCAAGATATATCTCGGGAAGGGGCGGGGTTGGGGGCGGGGGTTGGGGGGATTGGAGGGTGGGGGGACTATTGAATAACTAAAAAAGCTCATTCTTGTTTACGAAAGTAGAAGCATATATCGATAACTATTTCAATTCCACTTACGTATTATCGATATAAAACTTTATGTTTATTTATGTTACTGATTATTAAAAATAGTTAATTAAAGAGGAAATTATGTCTCCATGTCTATGGATAAATTAAACTACCTAGCTACTTGACTGCTGATCAATCACCATCCTTTTAATCAAATTTATGAGGTAAACCTAATCTTTTTAATATATATAGTTGTAGTATTATTTAATTTCCTTCAAAGGCATGTTATTAATAGAGTCTTTGTCTCACCACTATTAATCTTGTGAACTCCTATTTTGAAAATTTTATACTTATTTTAATTTGTAGAAATTAAAGAATATTTAAATGATTGGATAAATTCGTACGTACCAATCACCAAGTCAAACTTAATAAATTAAAGAAAAAAATAATTAAATGGACTATCAATTTTGGTAGTTGTTCTAACGAATTGATTCAACCATTTATCTAATTTTTTCATACTATCTCTATTTAATAAGTCTCAGATTTAAATTCTGAAAATAAAAAAGATCAATAATAAGTGATTTACCTTCTTAATAAGTTGATTTGGTGTGTGTCTTATATTAATCGAATATTTAATTTTATTTTATATTAACATATTTTTATATCATCAATCGACATATAATAACGACTCACTATTTTATCTATTGATCATGTGAAGATAAAACAAATATTTAACCATACCCATGTCCTATTAATTATTTTTTTCAAGAAAAAAATCAGAAAGACTTTCTCACTTTTTAATTATAAAAAATAATCTTTCATGTTCAATGACATTTTGCTTATAATTAACTAGAGTATATAATAAGCATTAGGTAAAATTAATCATTGTTAATGAACCAACTCATATTAAACAAAGAAGGATAGTATGAAAGCTATATCTAGTTAGGTCCAACAAAACTACTCCCAAAGATTCCAATTTCACTTCCTTTTAAACTTTTTTGTTCATTGAAGTAATCATACTTTTAGAGCTAATTAGAATTTAATCACTAATTATAATATTTTATTAAATAGCTTCTTCAATGATGCCTACCAATTGGCCCCTACCTGTATTGTAATTAATAAACAATACAAAATGTTATTTAAAGCAAAGGTTTGTCAATTAGCTCAAAATTTATCTACAAAAACAATCATCATGAGGACAAGTCGTTTTTATTAATCAATTAATTAATAAAATCTAAGTGGATATATAATTAATTAGATAATTAGTGTACGTGGCAAGTTGCGATTGGTTCACGGGAACCACCAATAAACTATATTTAGAATATTTTTGTTACAAGTAAACAACTTTCTTTATTAGTACTTGAGTATATTCATCATGAAAAGATAGAACCCTAAGCAAATTAAGAAAAAAAAAATAAACAAAAGATTAGTTGTATCCAATTGAATTAATGATTAAAGTTTATGTGAAAGGATTGATGTAGCAATTTGTACTAATTGAAACAACAACACATTTGATTCACCTTTTTATGTTTTTTTTTTCTAATTCTTTTCCTATTCATGAAAGAAATTAAAATTTATTAGTATAATTTGATAAAATATATGAAGGTTTTTGTTATTTTTAGTGAAAACCTGTATTTTTATCTTTTAGTGTAAATAAAGTTAAAATTAAATTAGAGGAATTAATGGCGGAAGGCTATCTTATAATTGATATAACTACAAAAGTATAATATATTTGAATTTAACGTTTCAATTTTTATTTTATTATTTTTATGTCAACTATGAATATTATTGATCTGTTCAATAACTTGTTATCCAATATTTTTCTACTAGTAAAACTAACTAATATTATTTTTAATAAGAGAATAATAATATTATAATCTTGAAAATGATATAACTATATAAAGAAAATGACGTTGCAAGAGTTGATAAAAGCTATTGACCCCTACAACGTTGCCTATCGTCATATTGAAAATAATGTGAGAAAAAATAATATGAAAGGGATATAGTGACGTTGACACTGTTTATAGTATGAAGCTAAACGTAATTAAATAAAATAATTAGTATATAGTTCAAATAGAGTTAAAAGAATGAATAATGTTCATGAAATTCGAAGAAATTTAAAATAAGTTCAATCTAAATTTTATGGGGTAAAATATGATTTGATCAGACAAAATTTATAACGAGGTCTTTTTGAAACATATAAAATCCAACGTAATAATATTATAATTGAAGTACACAAAACAATAAATATAATAATAGAAATCGAAGAACCAAACAATTACAAGAGTATAATTCAATCTACTATTACTAGTATGAAAGGGTTAGTGAATAGTGAGACAATACATGAGTACCAAATTGCTAGCTTTCTACGATTCAATCGTGTTATGTCTAGTAACGTCCTATCTAATTAGCATCATCGGTAAGCTGCACTTACGTCATATACCTATAATCTAGTCATATCAATTTTCTTTTCCCGAAATATTTTATATCCAACCTCTCATGCCTTCGACTAATACATTTTTTTCACTAAAAGAAAATCTTTTTGACAAAAAAAAATTTAAAAATAGTACAGGCACGTGCTACATCACGTGCATCTATTCCTAGGATAAATTTGATAATGGTCGTTGCGTCGTTAGGTTACCCAACATTTTGACGTATATGGCGGGAAGTGGCAGTTCTGCAAATTCCTCAAAATGGAAGGTGAATCTATTAACGGTATCATGTCTCCTAATATGATAATCCCACTCGCACTTCTGCACGCGCCATTGATAATTGTGTTGATCAGGCTTGTTAAGTGGGCCCACTTGCGCGTGGTCTGTTAATTGGGCTTTAACCTAAATTGACCTTTTAACGGATTTACAATGATGGGCTTTGATGTAAAAGCCCATTAAAAGACACCACGTGAGATGCCACCTCATAATTTACTTTGGTCAATCTACTTTTTGACTAACATGTTACAACAAATAAATAAAATAATTTATTAGGATAAAAGTATTGAACGTTTGGTAGGTAATCGAGCGTAATTAAATTTCTTTACCATTTTTTGTCCCCAAAGGAATAATCATTATTACTTTTAGTCTTAGATTTTAATATCATATGTTGCTTTTTTTGTTTCAGAAGTATTGATGTTATTATTTTTTATTTTAGTATTTTTTAACATGATTTTATGATATTATATTAATTTTATCGAAAATAAATTTAATACCTTTGTAAAATAAAAGTAAAGCTACATACACTCTATTATTGACCTAATTGTTGTCCCATGTTATTATAACTTGATATTAGTCGTAGAAATTATGAAATTAGGATAAAAAGTCAAGTCATAACGTTATTTTTTTCTCTCTAAAGAATATGGTTATGATAATTGACGTTTTAAGTAATTGCATTTGTTCGAGTAGGTATCAATATTCTTACAGCAAAGACTTTCATTTTCAAAAAATATTATTTTTAAGTCAATAAATATGAGTCTTTTTTCTTCCTCTTTATAGTAAGTTTATTTATATTGGAACGATAAAAATAACCAAGAAAGTCAATTCTTTTTTGGTAAGAAGTAAACTAAGTTATTTTTTTTTTCAAATTTCTTATCAAAAAGTAAATTGAAAAATATAAACCAACATAATTTTAGTATTAAAGAAAACTAACTTTGAACCATTGTCAATTTTACAAAGTTCTTATTTAATGAATCATGATTTTTTACCATAAAATTTATTTTTTACTTTTTTAAAATATTTACAATAATCTTTACAAACTAAAATATGGAAAAACTCTAAAATATTTTCAATTTTTAAATCAAACATTTGACAATTTAAGAATTTTTTAATCACAAATTTAATAATGAAGAATTTAAAATTTTTAATCACAAATATTGAAAGATTCAAACTCTAGGACTCAAAATTCATAGATAAAGAGTATCAAAAAATGAAATATATTTTAATTCACAAGTATCATTTTGTACAAAAGACTTTGACCTACAAAGTCACAAAAATAAATAAATGAAACCGAAAATGATATAGCAATATGTTACTACTTCATTTTTTTTAAAAAAATTATTTCTTTTTTAATTTGTTTTAAAAAAAAGATCTGTTTCATTTATTGATAAAATTTTAACTTTTCACATGACATGTTTAAGGTTATAAAATTAAATCACGTTTAAAATCATAAGACAAAAAATATTCTTTTTTTTTTATCAATTCCGTTTTAAGTTAAAATAAATTATTATTTTTTAAAACGGAAATAGTATTTTGATTAGTTATCCTAAAAAATTTAATTGGAGTGTCCATATTGTATTATGAGACATAAATAATTACTGTACATATACTATATACTATATAATACAGTATCTGTAAATGTGTTTTGCTTAGCTGTGTGAGTAATAAGAGAGAGTATAGAAAAGGAAAGAGAAAAGGGAAAAACTAAAATCTGGTAAACACAGAAGGAAGGAAGAAGCTTTTCTTTTTCACTTTGCTTTTACAAAAGCAGACTCTCTCTCTCAAACTTCTTCTTCTCACTTGTTCCCATCACCCTTCTCTCTCTATCTCTCAAGAACTTTCAGTTTCAGTGGGGGTCTCTATTCTTCAAGAACATAAAAATATGTTCTTTTCATCTGCCTAATTTCTTCAATAATCTGTAAGTATTTGCATTTCTTTCAGCTTTTTGATTCAATCTTTACTGGTTTTTTTCATATGGGGTTCTTCCATTTTTGTTCCTCTGCTAATGCATGAAGTTTTTTTGCTTGTTTGGTGGGGTGGGGGGTGGGTTGCTTGTGAAGAAAAGGATGTTTTTTTTTTTTTAATTCAATGTCTTGATTTTTGCTTCATAAGCATGTTTAGTAAGTAAAGTTTGTGTCTTTTCAGTTTCAAGAACATAAAAATCTTTACTTTTCATCTGCTTAATTTCTTCAATGATCTGCAAGTATTTGCATTTTTTTTGTTTTTTGATTTATTCTTGAGTGTTTTTTTCATATGGGGTTCTTCCATTTTTGTTCCTCTACTAATGCATGAAGCTTTTTAGGGAAAAAAATAATCTATTTTTGCTTGCTTTGCTGGTGAGGAAAAGGATGTTCTTTCCTTAATTGAATGCCTTGATTTTTGCATCTTAAGCATGTTTATTAAGGAAAGTTTGTGTCTGTATTCATTTAAAGAAGTATTACACACGCAAAAAAGGGGTTACTGTTAAAGAAATGTCTGTATCAGTAATGAATTTTTGTTTGTAAATTTGGTAATGCATGTGTCAAGACCTAAACTTGGATGTTTTCATATTCTGTACTTGGAGACAGATAAGCTACTTTACCAAAACAAAAGAATTTTCAATCTCAAGAATATATTATACTATACAAATTAAGGGAAGTGCATTTTTTTTTTATTCTACTGTCTCACATATCTTATCTTATTTGGCTGTCAAGGTAAATCTTGAGTTTCCCTTTTCCTCCTTTACTTTCTCTGAAAATGTTCATTTTTTTTCCAATTTCTTTTTTGGGACAGTTAAGATCAAGAATTGTTGGTTTTTCTGTTTCTCCATTGCTGATGATGGATCTTCACTAGAAAGCTTTTGACCCAATACAATTATTACTAACTCCAGCAGTAATCATGATGTCTTTAACCCAAACATGCTTTGTTCCTTCTGTAGTTATATATTGCAGACTTTAAACTTTATGTTGCCCCCCCATTCACCTACCAAAACTCTATAAATAACCTCCTTTTGGTATATTTTTATTTCTTTCTGTGTGTAACTTTATTCTTATGACACTCTAGTCTTGAAGTTTCTTTATTATTATTTTTTTCATTCCTTGATCAGCAGTTGTTTTGGTAATTTTCTGAATATCATTTTCTACTGTTGTTAGTACGTTTTAGGCAATTGCCCATTCTCTTAGGTTTACATACATATATTTAGTTCCCTTTTTGATGCTGTGGGGTGATGTAGATACAGATGTTCCATGTAGGCTCCAATCTGTTTATTTCTTTTTGAACTCTCTTATAGATATTTTATCTCTTGCTGATGTTTGTTGAGATATTAAATTTATCACATCTTGATGAGCAGATAAAACTGGTCAAATGACCAAGGTCAGTCCAGAATTTGTAGCGGAGCCTCAGATGCAGATAGCCCGGTCAGTATCAAGAGATGTGAGCTTGTCCAATAACCAGTTTCCAACATATAAGTTAGGACCCAACTTTGAGGTTCTACAGGATACAAAGGAGGATAACAAAGGCCCACCTTTAAAGGAGGTAGTCGAGGAAGAAACAAATCGGCTGACAGAACAACACAACCGCCTTTCTGTTCGTGACCTTGCTAGCAAATTTGACAAGAATTTGTCAGCTGCAGCTAAATTGTCTAATGAGGTACATTCATTTTTCTGTTTGCACACTTGTGCCATCTAATTGTTCGTCACATAGGACAATAGAGATGAAAAGAGTAAACAAAGAAATGAAATTTTCATGTGAAGCTAGACATCATTTACCGCGTTTTTGGTCTTGAAATGGATATATTTTTTATGAAGATATCAATATAGGACTTGAGCTTTATACAAATTGAGTTTTTCTTTTCCAGGCTAAAATTAGAGAGGCACCTTCCCTCGAGGGACATGTTCTTTTGAAGAAGCTCAGAGATTCTTTAGAATTTCTCAAAGGAAGATTGACAGGACTTAACAAGGAGGACATTGAAAAAACTATTTCATTGGTTAGTCGTCTTTGCAAATTGACCCACATAATTGAATCAGTGCTTCCTTGTTTGTCTATTACCAAATGTAATATAAATGAGATTTTTTTCCAGATATGTCCTTTGGAGGATTCTCTGTTCACCTATCTAAATATATATCTTCCTAAAGCCTGACCACATACTTTGTCCAGGTGGAAGCTTTGGCAGTAAAGTTGACACAAAATGAGGGAGAGCTTATACAAGAGAAGTTTGAAGTGAAAAAGCTTGTGAATTTTCTCAAGCAGGTTATTTATATATCATTTGAGTTGTGGTTAAGCCTCGGTCTCTAATCTGTGTGCTTTTCTGCATGTGAAAGAAACATGGAGAAAAGAAACTTAAAAGTAATTTTTCTTACAGGCCTCAGAAGATGCTAAAAGATTGGTCAACCAGGAAAGGTCTTTTGCTTGTGCTGAAATTGAGAGTGCCAGATCAGTCGTGCAAAGAATTGGGGAGGCTCTTGACGAAGAAGAAAGGAATTCCCCTACCTCTGCAAAACAGGTATACCATGCATTAGTACATTCTTATTTTTGATATATATCCATTCATCGCCTCTTTGAAGTCTGTCTTGTTTCATAAAATATCGATATAGTCAACTTCTCTGCTTTTTACCTTCTGGTAGTTTAATTTTGGTGTACAAAGAAAGTATTCCATAATTTTCCTCATAGAATATTTCCTATCAGTTGTTCCATTTTCCCATTTTCCTACCTGAAAAACCACCGTTCAGGTGATAAAGGGAACAATTTGTAGAAAACTACAAAAGCATCTGAAGTTACTTTGCTGCTTTAGATTTCCAAATTATGGTTTCCTTTTTCTTGACAAGTTGATTATGTTAATTACATACAACAACAATTTGATTTTCATGAAAGGATATAGGTTTTATTTCCCCAATGGAACTAACATTTGTCTTTGCCAGGAAGTGGAGGGACTGCTGGAAGAGGTACAAGAAGCTAGAAGAATAAAACTTTTGCATCAGCCTAGTAAGGTATGCTTTAAAATATGCTTTCACTTTAATTTCATAGACTATCCATGACACCACTTGAACTTTCAATATATCTGTTGTTTTAGGTGATGGACATGGAACATGAACTGAGGGCTTTAAGAATCCAGATCAGGGAGAAGTCTACTGTTTCATTTAAGCTTCAGAAAGAGGTATCCTTTTTAATTAGGTCTAATGATCCAGTGAACCTGGAAGGGTATGGTATATCTTTTAGTGAATGTACAAAATTTAAATTGTAAAAACCTATCTAGAGTGGTCCTCTCTTTCATTATTTGAGCACAGTACTGGCTAGATTAGTTGTGGTTTTCTTGTCTTAGAAAGACTCGTGTGTTTCTATCATGCCACTTCCAGAATAATCAACAACTCGTACTTCTCAGTGTTCTGTTTCCCCACTAATCCAAGCTATAAGCCAGAAAGCACACTCATAACTAACTGCTGTATGTTTCCTTTGTTATGTTCACTCCTGATCACATTCAGCAATATCATAGTATCAATCAACTACACCTTAATTCTAACTAGATGGAACCAAAAATATTTCCGATTATGGTACATGTTTCGGGGTTGTTAAGAGGGTAAGAACCTGAAAATTTCCTTTTCGTCATCTATCATCAGCTATTAGTAGTTTTCTCTACTTATCCACAAACTGAAACTTATGATTGATCTAGCATTGGCTATTTAGTGCTTCTCAGTTCTCAGAAGAGGGACAGATTCGATACAGATTGAAACAACTGTATGCAATTTAACTACCCTTTTTTGTCTAACCAATTATGGCAGTTCCTACTGTCACTAATGATAGATAACTCTCGAAATTTCCACTTGCTAAAACATGCTGCCCATGATGGTTAAAGCTTTCATGAATCCAGAGGGTCCTTCATTTATTAACAATAGATTCAATCAACTACATGTTGCGACTCACTATTAAATTCACGTAAATGAACTATTATACAATATTTTGTTTCACTTTGTATGACCTTTAGAATATAAGACTATTGAGAGACATTAAGAAAATATGTTCATTTTCTTGGAGTCACATGTAGTGCTTTTAAAATTCTAATGTTTTTTTGAGTACCATCAGAGAGATGCAAGTGTGGAATCTTTTGTCATTTTTATGCACCTATACATTATGTCCAGTAGAATTTTTTAAGCCTATAGTAATCTACTTTTCTGTTTGGAATATTGATGATTCCTCATTGTTTGCAGCTAACAATGAGCAGAAGAGCTGGGCAAAATAAATCCGAATTTTATGAGTTGATTGGTTCTGAAACTTTAGGTTCTATAATAAGAATCCAGTCATGTTCAAATGAAGCCATTGATGTTTCAAAATGTTCAATTCAGTGGTATCGTTTATCATCTGAATGCAGCAGAAGGGAACCTATCGTTGGTATTAACTCTGCTTTCCATTCTGCATATATCTTTTCAAGTCTTTCATTTGAAACAGCTAAAAATTCCATCTTCTTGAGTAAAAAACACGACTGAACCATCACTCTTTTGTGAGTTTCATATCCCAACTATTTGTTGTTCCCTCTTGTACCTGAACTATCACCATCTATATAGAAAACACAGAGTGTTTAGGTAGGAAAAGTGAACAACGGATAGTTGGCTTAATCAGCTTCGAGGTGTGTACAATATCCGCTAAAATGCCATAAAAACCTTCTAAAGTTTGAATGAACTGTGATTGAGTCGTATGAGGAATCTGATAACCGTATAGAGCCCCATAAAGCGTACATAATAATTGAATTTTAGCAATTGCTTTTGCTCCACCAATTTTGAAATCTAGCTAGTTGGTGAGAGCTTAACATCCTTGTTTTTTGATGCACCACAATTATTGTCATTACATGATTACTGTTCAATGTACCAGGTGCGGACAAATTTGTGTATGCTCCGGAGCCTATTGACGTTGGGAGACTTTTAGAAGCAGATATAGTCTCAAATGGCCAAAAAGTCTCACTGACAACTACTGCTCCTATCGATCCAGGTTGGTCCTGGATCACATTTATTTGACTTTATGAGTTTCCTTCTTAATGTTCACTTCTAAATGTAGCCGTCAATTAACATTTTTTCCTGTGTTGTCTCTTTTATTTATGTTAATTACAAAAAATGAGTTCTTTGAATTCAATTCTTACAGCATCTGGATTGGGGAGTTATGTCGAGACACTTTTCCGGAAGTCGAACATTGAATTCAGCGTAAGTATTCTCATGCAATATCTGCATCTAATACAGTATCCGGAAGTCAAACATCAAACATTCACGTCAGTTCATATTTGTACAGACTTAAATTAAATCGTGGACTTGTCTGTCAGTTGACTACTTTATACTAATCAGATTATAATTTTTTTTGCAGGTGGTTATTGCACAGATGAATGGACGGAACTATTCATCACGTTCTGCACACTGCTTTCATGTCGGGAAAACAAAGCTGAAGTTGGGCAAAGGATGGATTACAAAAGCTAGAGATTCATACTCTAAGTCTATGCAGGTACTTCATGAAATCATCATTAAGAAAATAGTTCATTCACGCTCCAATAGCCGACTACCAGTGTTTACTATTCAGTTTGAGTTATTAAATGAGCTTCATGCCTTAATAGGTTCTTTTAAATATTCACTCCAAATACTAAGTGACAATCATATCTTACATATCCCAAAATGCTTTTAATTTCAGCTATGTGGATTTAGAGGAGGCGGAAATTCTGCGGCAAAGTCATTGTTTTGGCTACCAAGGAAAGGACATTCCTTTGTGTTAGTATTTGAATCAGAGAAAGAAAGAAACGGAGCCCTTATGGCTGCTCGGAAATATGCCATGGATTGCAATGTAAGTAGCTTCTGTTTGTTTCTTCAGCTTCAGCTGCATATCTTCATTTGGTTATAAATTACTCAATCAACTATGCCTCAGTCCCAAAATAAGTTGAAATCAGTTGTATGAGTTCTCCTTATCCAATCTTATCTGTTAATAGGTGATAACAACTAGTGTCACTAAAGTATAGTGAGTTGTTGCTCAGACTCTTGAAAAATGCTACGACACTCGTGTTGGATCCTCGTAAAATGCACTACTTTTGGAGTATCTGACACACATCCGTCAACATTTTGGAGAGTCCGAGCAACACAGAATGAGTGTAATCACTAACTAAAAATCTTGAATCCGCAACTGCTCCTCTTCCCCTCCCCTCAAGTTAGAGATACTAAGACATTTTTTTCTCCAAAATTACAGGTAATTCTTGCTGGACCTGATGATGATGCTTTGCTTTAGACATACTGATTTCCAAGTTATTTTCACCAATGAGTCACTTGATTAGTTTTTTTTTTTTAATTTTTTTTGGTGATTATAATTAGTTTTTTTTTCCTTCTTTCAAATGTGAGTGCTCAATTTCTTATTATATTTGTGTGTGATTTAGTAATCAAACATGTCTTGTCATTGTAATTTTTTTACTAATTAGTTACATCCTTTCTAGGCAATGTTCTTTTTTTAGTTTTGCCTTGTTATGGGTTGTAACAAATTTTACTAATTGATGGTCCATTTGCATTTTTAATGAAAATCCTTTTTACTACCTCTTTTTAATGAACACCATAGAAGTTTTTGGTTGAAAAATCCACAAACAACTATACACGACTTAGATTACGTTCTTAAATTATTATTCTTTACAAAAAGAAAAACACATCTTTAGAGTCCATCTATTAAAATTTGTCAAAAAATTAGCGAATTTCATTCAAAAACATATGCAATTCATACCATTATTGAATTCTCATAAAAAAAATTCTATTATTTTATTATCGATTGGAAGAAGTTTTCAAAAATAATAAAAAGAATTTTTTTGAAACCCTTGTTTGCTTGTTAAAAAAATTAAAGTTAGGATGGTGGGAGTCTACGAGCTAAAAAAATTCACAAAAATGTTTTAGATGTACGTAGAATGAACATAATTGATTTGATTTATGAAGTTTTGTTGAGAACAGTGTGAATTGTACATGTGAAAGAATTTGTTAATTTTTTTTGAGAAATTTTAAATAATTGAGGAATGAATTCTATTAAGAAAAATAATCTATTTTATTTTAGCAATGGTTAATGTAACCCATTAATACCACATAATCTCTCATTGACTATGAGAATTCGCAGTAGTGGTAGGCAGAGCATAATTAATTAATGAATAAAAAAATAAAAAAAAACATTAAATTGATTACGAGTAATGTTCGATTAATGGATTCAAAAAATTATGGTGAAATAGATGCGCGAATATGTTTGAAAAAACCTTGTTAAATCATAACTTTAACTTTTGTATTTTCTTTTTTTATAAGTATTATTTTGACTATGACTTCTTTTAAATTTTTAATTTACCAAATATCATTCATATTATCCGTCTTATATAAAGAAACAATTTCAGTGTATCCTTTTATTTATAATCATTGAAATAAAAAAAATTAACGTATAAAGAAACGATTCATATAGTTATCTCCGACTAGTTGAATCGAGTAATAGTGACTTAGAACAATTAAAAAATTTGTTATATTAGTATCAGTAATATTAATATTTCAATATAAAAAATGGCAGTGGTAATAATTTCCTAATTTTACAATAAACAAAATTAAACACAACGGTAAGTTTTGGACAGTCCTTAATGGGCTTTATTACAGGAATAAGCCCAACTGTCTGATACTCAATCACGACCGTTCGATATAAAACTTTCATCCAACGGCTTAGATTGAACGAAAAAAATGAGACCGTTGGGAGTGAAGCGGCGATTTGTGAAGCTTCAAATAGGGTGTCTTTCTTCTTCATTTTCCCAAAATATTCAGAGAGGAAAAGCTTCAAAGTTTCTGTAAAAAATGGCTTCAAGAAATGTTCTTCAACACCAAAATAAAGGTGAAATCTTTGGGACTTTCTTTGTTATCTTTCAATTCTTTTTTCGGTTTTCGATTCAATAAGTTTTCTTGTTTTTTGTTCAAAAAATCCCAAATGGTAACACCCATGGATCTAATTTGGTTCAAAGATTTCACATTTCTGTATTGGGTGTTACAATTTCTTCTTTCTAAGTTCTTTTGTTATGTTTTTTGGGTTGGGTGTGTTAAAGATGCTTAGATTAAATATGTAAGCAAGATGTTGTTGGAGTGTAAACCTGATGAGAAATGAGGCCTACTTGATATTCTATAAATAGGTTTCTCATAATATATTCAGGATACAAATTTGTATCTTTTTGTGTTGTTTAGGGTTTGTTAATGGGTGAATCTATTGAAATGTTCATGGTAGATGGTAAATGATGTAACACTATCGAACTCTCATAAGTAGTTTCGAATGTTAATGGTGTTTTATTTTGTCAAGGACGGATCATAACTTAGCTAGATCTTGTCTTTGTGTTATTAAATTAACTTAATATGTGTTATAAATTGTGGTTATTGAGTGAAACCTCTTGTGTTTATGATAGATGGTTCAGTAAATGATGTTTAACACAATGAACTCTTTAAGTAGTATTGAATATTAATGGTGTTGGATTTGCAGGGATGGATTGTAACTTTAGCTTAGATCTTGTTTTTGTGTTACGAATTTCACTTAATATGTAGTAGTATATGTTCTACCCCGAATGATTTAAGTAAGCCTAAGAAGGGCTTCATAACTTATAAACTTAGGATCCTGGATGTTTGTTTGGTGTACTAAATATAAGTGTTTGTTATTGTTTAGGTGAGGTACTTGTCCCTGGTGTACTAAAGCAGAAAAAGAATATGGTAGCAGAAGGGAGAAACCGAAAGGCGCTTGGAGATATTGGGAATCTGGCTACAGGCTATGGAGCTGAAGGAAAGCCACTTCCTCAGGTATCTCGCCCCGTAACAAGGAGCTTTTGTGCACAATTGTTGGCAGCACCTCAAAATCAGAAGGTTATGACAATAAAGTCATAATCATATTTTAATTGCATTTCAATCTCAATGTGATGTTATGTACTAATGTGGCTTTTCTTGAACTGTTTGCAGAAATCTGTGGCTGTTAATGTAAAAGTAGCAAATGTTGCTAATGGAGCTCAAAAAGTACCTGTAGGAAGGAAGCCAGCTCAGAAGAAAGTCACAGTAAAGCCAAAACCTGAGGAGATTATTGAAATTAGTCCTGATACTCGAGAGAAACTAATGGAGAAGAAGATGCTTAGGAAGAAGCAGGCTGCTGAAGACATAACAAAGAAGAAATCAACTCTTACTTCAACCCTCACTGCTCGAAGCAAGGTTCAATATGCCTCTTTTGTTAATTGTGGAACATTATCTATATATAGAGGATTGTTTTGTGTTTTACATAATTGTCAGTTGTATAACTAGAGGAATGTCTGATGTTTTTGTCAACTTAATATAGGCTGCGTGTGGTCTGAGCAAGAAACCAAAGGAGCATATTGTGGACATTGATGCTGCAGATGTAAACAATGAATTGGCAGTTCTGGAATATGTTGAAGACATTTACAACTTCTACAAACTAGCCGAGGTATCCATCGTCTTGAACATGAGCTCATGTCGATTGCTGCTGTCTATATTTGTTTCTTGTTTACTAGTAATATTGTGATCAACTCAAATACTTGTGCTTTTTTGCAGACTGAGACAAGAGTTCATGATTACATTGATTCACAGCCTGAGATAAACGAAAAAATGAGAGCAATTCTGATTGATTGGTTAATTGAAGTCCACCACAAGTTTGAACTTAATCCAGAAACTCTTTACCTCACAATTAACATTGTTGATCGCTACCTTACTGTGGAGACTTCATCAAGAAGGGAATTGCAGTTGTTGGGCATTAGTGCCATGCTCATAGCCTCCAAATATGAAGAAATTTGGGCTCCTGAGGTATATTTCTAGATCTTATCGAATAATATTTTGATGTCTCTTACACCATATGAGCTGCTAATGACTAAGCTAACAATTTTCTGAATGTTCTAATTTGATTCTTCAGGTCAATGACTTCGTGTGCATCGCAGACAAAACTTACAGTCATGATCAGGTGTTAGCTATGGAGAAACAAATTCTTGGGAAACTGGAATGGTACCTAACAGTCCCAACACCTTACGTGTTCCTCGTGCGTTTCATCAAAGCTTCTCTGCCTGATTCAGAAGTAAGTCCTTTTAACATTCTTGGCTATATTATCTACTGTCTCAATGAGAGTTTATATTGTACTAACTTGAATCCCTTAAAAACCAGATGGAGAACATGGTATATTTTCTGGCTGAACTGGGATTGATGAATTATGCAACCATTATCTACTGTCCATCAATGATTGCTGCCTCAGCTGTCTATGCTGCTCGACACACTCTCAACCGAACCCCATTTTGGAATGGGACACTCAAGCTGCACACTGGTTTCTCAGAGTCTCAAGTAATAGAGTGCTCGAGGCAGTTAGTCAGCTATCACTCCGAGGCTGCAAATCACAAGCTTAAGGTGATTTACAAGAAGTACTCAAACTCTGAGAGAGGTGCTGTTGCATTACTACCTCCAGCCAAATCCCTGTTGACTGCATCATCATCATGATGCTAGCTGAAGCTGCCACAAATGCAATTAATACTACTGACTGGGAAGATGACTTAATATTTTTCTGTTTCCATCAATCAAGAATCCCCTTTTGTTGTTGCAGCACCCCCCTTTTATTTGGTTTCTATTAGTAGTACTACTTGAGCTCCAAGTAGTGTTGTGTAACCCATGAGAAATGGAAATTTGCTTGTTTTTTCCAATGGTCATCGCTGGACAAAAGATAATATTAACAAAAAAAGATAATGGTTGGTATTATTATAAGGTATTTGGAGGATAGATGTCTAATATGAGATCCACCTTAATGCCACCAAAGATAGTGAACTCCTGCTACAACTGCTCTGTTAAGTCAGTTGAGAGAATACCCAAACGGGTAGAGGGTTTTAAACTCTACCAGAGTGGTATTTGGACTGGCCCTCATATTAGACCTTACTAACCCCAAATATCCGTTCATTTGACTCTTCATGTTATAATAATCTCCCACCATCTTAGTACTCCCACCTGGGTTACAGGCCCTCGTTACTGAGCCCAGTGCTACTACTCTTCTTTTCTTACTTCTTTATACCATCAAAACACATCTTCCACAAACGATGTGGGACAATCCCTCTAAACCTATCATCTTTTTTTTTATTTAAATGAGGATAGAAACGTTGTTTTCGATAGATCATTGACTTAAAAAAATAATAATAAAGAACGTATGATATTTCATAGTTTTAGCGGAACTCTTACATTACAATATATGTTGCTCTTTTCTTTACCGATTATTATTATTAGTGTATCTAATAAACTCACTCGTATCTATAAAGTTTAAGCTTTGACTGTGATAATTGGATTAGCAATCATATAATAGGCTCTCGTTTCATTAGGGGTGGGCAAAAATCGAAACGATCAATAAACCGAACCAATAAAATGTTATTGGGTTATTGGGTTTTTTATGGGTTTAGAAAAAATAATGATTGGGTTATTGGGTCGGTTTTGATTTTTCCCATTGGGTTATTGGGTAAACCGATAACCCAATAAGACGATAGTTATGTACTACTTTACCCTTTCTCAATAT